TACCATGATCAGAATTGTAGAGATTCAACCCATGTGACCAGCCTGTGGCCAGTACATCTATGAAGAAGATCCATAAATGGCAGCTGCTCTTGGCTCCCCGCTGCCATGTTGTCACAAAACGCTGCAAGGTATTAATTTAGAACAGCGGGTCTCTCGAACAGCATGAGATCCCAAGCTTTTATTTCTTGTTCATATTGTGCCACTTGGCTGGCAGGTAACTGATGGGTTCTGTGTGCAATGTAGATGACAAAGAACCATTTTGATGTCTTTACTTTCACTGGAAGTGACTAATGCAATCAGATTATGTGGTAGATATTTCATTAGATGGTTTTCTTAAACTCTTACATGGCCTCATGTTTAACAACCTGGTTATGTTTATTTGGGGAGTAACATACCTGCTCTCCTCTGTAGATGACATACTCAGCATAAGCCAGTCCGTTCACACTCGGTCGACCAATAACTGAATGATGTCCTGGAGGGGCATGAGCCATTTTCATCGTGCTGAATTGCAGGAAGGATTTTCCAAGGGTCACTCTACAGAAAAGCATTTGTCTAAAGAAAAATGGGAAGCAATGCTTTAAAGGAACCTTTAAATCTCAGAATAATTATTGATTAAAAAAAAAAAAAACTAACACAGGGCAAACTAATTTAAATTTCATTTCCAAATTTATGAGTGAGAATGGGATTTGATACATTAATTTACTATTAACATGTAGTAGGATCAACAGTTACACTTAAAGAGTTTAAAATAGTTTTGGTGTGGTTTAGGAATTAATACTGAGAGAATATCTGGCAGTAAATTTTGCCTAGTGGAAAAAGGGAAATATCAGAGAAAATAGTTCTTATATGGACGGGTAGCTGGAAAGTAAAGAAAAAAAACAGATGGAAGCAGCACCTGAGATTAAGACAAGTTTATTCATCATAAGGAAAAAATAAAAACTGGAATGAGATTAAATAGCCAGAAAAGTAGATCATAAACAAAATTACTTAGCTCAAAATGATACTACTTGGGTGAAACATGAATTGGGACAAATGTTAAATTCTATAGAGGAGAAAAAAGATAGATTGGGAAGAACGTAAAAAGTATTACAAAGACCAGGGGTTGGCAAACTATGGCCTATGGGCCAAATCCAGCCCACCATCTGCTTTTGTAAATATACTTTATTGGAACACAGCCACACATTCATTTACGTATTATGTACGGTTGCTTTTAAGCTAAAAAGCAGAGCTGAGTTGTGTGACAGGGAAAAGCCTAAAGTATTTACTATCTGGTCCTTTACAGAAAAAGTTTGCCAAACCCCTGAAGTAAAAAATAAACATATTCTAACTAATCAGTAAGATTGATTGGTCATGCTGTTAAATGTTAATAGTTATTATTTAATCAAATAGTTTGTGTTTAGTAATGGAGTGAGATCTCTGTGTTAATGACTAATCAGAGATATTATTTTGAGTCAATAAAAAATTGTACTGGGCTCAGTATATACACCTATTTGGAATGGCTTTTTTTTAAGCTTGATGCTATTTTGATGACTTTTAGGATGCAGGCTTGGTATCAACTGCCTTCCCTAGCAGCAACCAGAGGGAAGAGGTTTGATGCGCATTAGAGGAAAGGCTTTTTGAGTACTACAGGGTCACTGGGCTCTGTCACTGAGCAGGCCGGGCCCACTGCCATAGCTACTCTCAAGTCTATCACATCACACAAAGCTTGTCCTGACAGGCTCTTGCTTCCTGCCTTCTGCTGCCTTTCCCAGGGCTTCTCTGTTGCTGTGGAGGCAGGAGAAGGCACAGGACCTGTCCGGTCAGCCCACGAGGCTGCAGACGGCAGGTGCAGAGTACTGCCTACTCACTGGCTGGCCTTGTGCATTGTGGTACAGGCTGCAGGGTCATTAGTCCGAAAACGTGGGGGTATGGACAGACTGTGGGGAAAATAATAACCAGCATAAGATAGGAGCCAGCAGATAGATTAATCTGTCTTCTCTCACTGATGTACTGTTTAGAAAGCAGTTCATACAACCTCTCTAAAAACACCTCACGGACAAAGCAATCAACTGCACTTGTTACAAAGCTGGGGCCAGCCTCTGAATCAGCCGCACTGTATTTACTCTGCCTCCTTCAGCACCTCACTTGTTTTTGTGGCCTCATTCCTGCTTCCTTGGGATTGCAATTGCCAAGCTTCCTTGGGATTGCAATTGCCAAGCTTTGGCTTCAGTCTCTGTTTTCTAGGAAACTCTGGGGAAGACATAAATTTGTGTGTCCAATTTTAAAGAGTGACTGTCAGTGTTCATTTAGATTCACTTTATTCCTTATTTAGGTTCACTTTGTCTCCGTTAGCAGTTAGGTTTGAAGCAACAAAAATAAACTTCGGCATGCTACACGTCCTTGGGAATTTTTGTAACCACTGACGTGTAAATGGAAAGAAGTTTCCTTCTGGAAATGTGGCATCCATCTTAGAACTGCTGATGGCTACAATTTTTTTTTATAACATAACTGAGAGAGGTAAGTTTTAAGGTCAACACGTATAATGAATTTCAAGGCTATATGGGCCTCTTTACGGTTTTAACTGAATCACAAAATAACTTACGACTCTGACTGCAAAAATAATGCATCTGATTAATTTAAAGAGAAACGTAAAATAAATCCCAATCCTTGTAAAGTACAGTTATTTCCTATTTTTTCCCCACTGGCAGGGAAGAGAACAGTAGTTTTTTCACTGACGTCAGAGACAGCAAATCCTATTTAAAAAGCTGATATTCATTTGTTTGCTATTAATTCCGAAGTCTGATATTGAAGTTGGACTTTTCAAATACTCAAGGCTAATTATATATCCTGCCTTAAGACAAACATCAGTAACAACAAAACAGAAGTAAATTAAAGATTCTATTTGTTTATAAAGTTCTGTGCTTTAGTTAAAATTTGAATAGAACTAAAGGTTCTCTGCTCTACAGAAAAAATTCTCAAGCTTTTCTTGTTCGGATTCTGAAGAAAGGAGAGAGAAGTCCAGGGAGAAGGCCAAGAGGGAGTGATTTTCTCTGTAACTTATGACTGGTTGACATATATCTGGGTTTTGACGGCTCTGCTATCATTGCTCCTGTTGGGGTAGAGTCTGATCAGAGATACGGCCCCCGTTTTTATTAGGAAGTAAGACTGAAGACAACCCATGAGCCCTGTAGATCCAGAGAAACTAATTTGGTTCATGACCTAAAGATGGTAACCATCACACTAAAGGCAATATGCTCACCTGTGACATATATAACATGACCTATCTTTGTGCGTGGGGCAGCCTGTTCCTCCTCCAATTCCGTAAACATACTGGTTGCTTTTAGAGGAGTTTTCAGCAAAATAAATCCCAGCTCCAAACATTCCTCCAATGTATGCATGTCGCTCATCAAACCCTTTATGAATAATGGCATTGATGAAAGGCGAACCTAAAAATATAGAAACATTAGATTTTGGACATTTCTAGAATCTCAATTAGTTGTATACTATTTGCACTTGGCAGTTTATGAAAAGTTGATTTTGTAAGATGGTCTATTATACATAAATTATTGTAAAGTATCAGCAATCCACAGTGTTTGCCAAGTAACGATGCCATATGGATTCTGAAGATGGCATGAGATTTTAGATAGCAAGATACAATGTGACTTTGAAAATGTAGATTATTTTATACCCAATCTTACTTTAAGCAAGCATAGATAATCTGACAAACTAAAACAAATATACTAAACTAACAATCAAAGTATTTCACTATCTAGATGGCTCTACCTGCAATTTAAGTTCTGAGACAATGTCAGATCAATTATTCTTACTGTACATGTCTTGGAAAGCCTGTACTAACACGTAACGCCTTACAAAGAGGCGGTTGTTGTTGGCTGTCATCAGGTTGACTCTGACTTATGGTGACCCCATGCGTGCAGAGCAGAACTGCTCCACAGCTTCGGAAGCCGATCACCACGCCTGTCTGCCAAGGTGCCTATGGGTTGGTTCTAACTACCAAACTTGGCTAGTAGTTGAGTACTTAACCATCTGCACTACCCAGAGACTCCCAGAAAGCAGTTACCAACGTGTAATTATCTGAGCGGTAAAAAAAACAATCCAAACAAGCCATTTTAACACAACCTTAATACAGTCAGTAACATAGGTTTTTTACTTTATTGAAATTTGCAAAAGCCCAGAGAAATGTCTAGAATTACTGCCATGATACTCACCATGGAACAGCATGCGCTCGTTGTGATGGTTATGATTCTCCTCGGACACCTCCTTCTGTCTGTGACAGAATCGCTCCCTCAACTTCTTGTTGACAACTTTTTGAATCTTAAAGGATGAGGCAGAAAGAAGCCAATTATCAGCGAAATGTATGCTCATTAGCAGTTTATGATTTAAAAATGAAAGAAGAGTGTTTCCTATAGGATGGTTTACTTTTCATTTTTCATTTGCTTAAGTTTATTTTCTAATTTATTAACTTAAAAACCATAAGGCTGTCATGTCAATGTAATTCAGTTAATACCCTCCCTTTAGTGACATAATTTTCAGTCATAGTTTTTGTTTTCTGTAGCAGACCTGGCTGAACATCAAAATCGCCTCAGCAGTTAAAAGGGGGAAAAAAAATGTTATTTCTAGGTTCCTCCCCAGACTTATTGAATGTTAGGAGGTGGGACCTATAAATCTGTATTTTTAAAAAAAGCTCCCAAGGTAATTCTGATGTGTACTGGTACAATTTTCACAGGTCTATTAGTGGAAAGGGTTAAATCAGTTCTTACAGATTTTATTCATCTTTAGGATACTCCTTTGAAAAAAGGATATACCATTCATCTAGCCCATATTATAAATTAAGAAACTAAGGTTAAAATATATATTCACTATAATACCATCGCTGACTCAGTTAGATTGAAAATCAAGGCCTTTAATGCTAGTTGCAAATGATAATTAAAATTACTGTCTGCTATGGTCTGAATTTGGGGATGAGCTGAGATCATATCCATAACTCCATCACCAATACAAGCTGATGGCAGCCTTCTATTTGTAGCGTTAGTGTTTGTAAGGTGTCTGTATTCTGAAAGAAGTATGATACTTGAAGGGTAGAGTGACACCTAACTACAGGGCAACGGGTGCTTTTATCTTTGACAGTTTGACATATAATTAAAAAAAAAAATCACTGGCTAGATTTGATTGCAATTGTCAGGCAAGGCTTATAATCAAATTTTCACCCTGAATTTTTTGAACTTACTCGAATAACATTGTATCTGTTGAAGATGCCTCCAGCATTACCACCATCTCTGTGTTCTCGAATTGTACTTTGCATCTACAGAACAAAATAAAATAACTAACCTTATGAAAATACTCCAGTATTACTCTAAAGACCTCCCTTCTGTTGTTTTCAACATTTCAATTCTAATATATTCTTTCACTGATTAGTCTAAGACTAGTAACACAATCGGTGTTTACTATAAATTGATCCACAAGTTTAGTGGATAAGTAAGTATTTCTGGTGAAATAGTCACAGAAATAAAAAACTTTATGTATTTTGTGTTTATTTTTTAATAAAAGTTTTGGATGATTTTTTTCTGTAAACACAATGGGGAAATGTATATACAGGCAGTCTCTGGGTTACGAATGAGATCCATTGCTAAGTCTGTCTTTAAGTTGAATTTGTAGGTAAGCTGGAACAGGTACGTGTGGTTTTTATTTAATGCCAGTTAGTCAAATGTTCGTCTTACACTACTGAGTATATATTTTACCTTTCTGTGCATATAAAAGAGGGCCCTGGTGGCGTAGCGGTTAAGAGCTTGTCTGCTAACCTAAAGGTCAGCAGTTCGAATCCACCAGCTGCTCCTTGGAAACCCTATGGGGCAGTTCTACTCTGTCCTATAGGATTGCTATGAGTGAAAATTGACTGGCCAGCAACAGGTTTGGGTTTTTTTATGCATATAAAACACTTAAGAAACACTCCCAAACCGAGCGATGTTCTCATGAGCGTCACAAAGCAGCGCATGAGTTCATTATTAGGAACCATTGTATGTAATTCATTATGGCAGTCCATTCTTAAGTATAACTTGTCCGTAAACTGGACGTTCATAACCTGGGGCCTGCCTGTATAAGATATGACATTAAATCATCTGCATTACTATTTCATATTACTGAGAATGAGAAGTGACACTGTGATTAGATCAATCTGAAACTCCTCCATTCAATTAACACATTAGACAAATGCTAAAAATAAATGCAAAGAATTAAAAAAAAAATCTGTATTTTTGTTCCTAGGTGAAATATTCCATATCATCTCAATAATCTTTAATTTGAGATCTTGAAGTGTAACCACACTGCCCCGGGGAAGGTGAATATAATGTACAACTAGGCACAATAACTTTCTCCTGATGATTACTCATTCTTCCTTCACTCCCCCAATTATGACCAATTATTATGGAAGAGAAAAATATTTTAGACCTAAGGTTCTCATAGAATTGATTCAGAGTTAATTCTCTATCTCTGTGTTCCATTTTGAAGTTATTCACCACATTTTTGACATCATCAGAATTTACAACTAGGAGAATAATTCGGCAGTAAGACACTAGAAGACATGATGCTTTCTGACAAACCAACAAGTATGAGCTGAAATACCACCTGAGGTAACGGCCTGGAGTCCCGAATGTGATCTCCTAGCAGGAGAATAACATGTAACAACTAACAAGCAAAAAACAAACACAAACGTAGGCCTACCTTTCTCTGCTCGGGTATGTGCATCATTGCAGAATTAGGCAGCTTATTTATTAGGATAATGGAGTTAGGCACTTTGTTTATTATGGGTAAGAAGTAAAGCCAAAGCCATCAGTAGAGAGGGAATTTATATGGCATCTGTCTACCAGGAGGTTCATACAAATAGCCTTACCATGGTGCTTTAAAATGACTGTGACTGGAGAAATAAAATGTGATTCAGAGGCAGATTTCATAAGCATAGATGAAAATAACTTTGTATAAAAACAAAGATTAGAAGATATTTGCTATCTATAAGACTCTCACCCCATATCATTCTTAGCTGATACTCTAACAATATAAAACAATAGTTATAATAGGGTCCTCCACTTGTGTGGGTTTCAAGAAAGTCTCCAAAATAGACAGATCTGCCCCAACCATTTGAAACTCTAGGCTTAAGATGAAAAAGCAATGTGGCATAGTTCTAATCCGAAGTCATATTTTAATTTTGGCAATATTCCACCACAATGGCTAAGGGAGACAGAATAACAGATAGACAAGTGACCACAGGACTAGCTTACCTCTCCTGGAAAATAGGTTAACTACAGATTTCAGGAAAAGAGCATTTAAAAATCTGGAAGTACTTTACCTCCTCTTCTACTGACTGATATTCCTTATCTTCTGGAGCAAGATCCAGTAAAATTGTTCCCTGATTAACACAGTGAAAAGTCAAGTAAGGATTGGTGCCTGTGGGAGAGAAAAATGAACACATCAAACAATGGCCATTATTCAGGCTCTATCTTAGGGAAAACTTCCTGGTACACAGTTGGAGCAAGCCTAAATGCTCTGTAGTATGAACCTAATCGGTACATAAGGTTATAGTAAATAAATACATGTGAAGACAAGAGAAGAAATGGACATGTGTTGGGGGGATCAACTGGATCCCTTCTTGCAGAGTTCCTTGTACAGCAGAGCTCAAGAAGTATTTGTTGAACTGAACTCAGTCATGAACATATATGAAGTTGGGTCTGATACAAAAGAGAAACGGACACTGAAATTACAAATGTAATCGGGAGTCAGATACAAGAATTGTCCTCTAAAAACTGTTGGATAGCTTAAGACGTTCACTTATAATAGGCTTCAGAATATATTGTTCTTATTAATTTCAGAGATGGACACAGCTAAGTGAGTAAGACTCAGGCTCAAAGCCTCCCAACTTTTAGCTTCCCGCCCTTTTGCAACCTGCTAGCGGGGTAGGCTGACGGGCCAATCCAAGTTGTTTCCTTTCTCTTCCTCTGCTTGCCTACAGTGAAAGCACTTCCAGCGAAGAGTGAAACGATCACCATGGAGGCACACAAAGGAGAAAGCTAAGAGGCTTGTCAGAGCAAAGTACACTGGAAAAAATGGGGCTGACAGCTGTGAGGGAGGCAGAAAGGTTCGAGATGAGGGAAGAGAAAGGTCAGATTATGAAAAACCACGTTATCAACTCCTGGTTGTATCCTCAAAGCAACAGGAGTCTATGGAAGGTTTTTAAGCAGCGAGGTGATATGATCATATACGCATTTTAAAAAGCGTCCTCTGGCTACAGTGTCGAGAAGACACTGGCGAGAGGCAAAGGTGAAGGCTGGCGATGAGGTGGAAGACGGCTGTGACAGTCCAGGAGAGAGGTGATGGGGGTTTAGATTAGGGTGAGAGCCATGAGGAAGGACAGAGGTACGGAGATTCCAGGGAAATTCTGGATGTAAAGCATGGGGGAGAGGGAAGAAGGACACTCAGATTTCTGGGCTGAGCAACTGGGTGGCAAGTGATGCCCGTGAAGGGCACAGGCTCTGGGGTCAGACTGCCTGAGTTGAGATGCCAGCCCCAATCTTTAGCTTGCACCGCTAATTTCCCAACTATGTATTTTTTCTGAATTGCTTACCTTGTTGCCCACCTAAAAGTCTTTCTACTCCTTTGATTAATTTGTGGCGGTGTCCATAGGCATTGATGCCGATTTCTTTCAACTCTTCATGACCCATATCAGCCAACACATCTAGTGTGATCTGAAAAATGAAATAAAATTAGTTGCTAAATCTTTCATAGCTCCACAAAGGACAAAAGCTCCCCCATTTGTCTACAATGCTAGGATTCCATTCAAATTAAGAATCTTATTCCCTTTATAAGCATGAACTTACAATCTTCTTAAAGTTGACTTGATAATCTCATCAGCTTTTTGCTCATTTGACATAGTCATTATTTTGCTTTTAGTAATGAAGAACTCAAGGAGAAACAATAGTATGTAAATACAAAATGATCACTGCTATATTTCCCATTTCCTTTTGATTATTTAATTCTACCACCTTCTGCTTCCCTCAAGCGGTAAGAAGGAACAATCAGTAGCTTAAAAATGGGAAATACCAGGGCTCAGCACCCAGCAGGTAGCAGAGATGAATGGTCGGGAAAGGGAGAGGTGTTTTAACACCATTAAGCAGAACGTGGTAAAGGGAGTAAGGGGTTTTGGGCAAGTAGATTTCAGAAAAAGGAAGAACTTCTCAGTGCTAAGCATTATTCAAGCATGGAACAGGCTGCCTTACAAAGTAGTGAGATTTATATCACTACAAGTATTTAGTTAGATTACAGAACACTTTATAGAGGAGTTATATAAACAATTCCAAAGAAGAAAAGAGAGTAGGTGGTTTTTGAACTCTTATAAATCTCGGATTTTACAATCCCTGTTGCCTAACATATGTTCTATTTTTGTACAAAACAGTGGTTTTTAATTCTTAGTTAGTCATCCCTGAGGATGACATGATTAGTTGGCTACCACCATAACTTATGACTCGGAATCTACTCGAAGGCGGCGGGTTTGGTTGTTTTTTTTTCTTTTCCCCATGGACTAAAAGTGACTGTGACTCTACTGCCACCCAGTGGCAGTGTTCCGAACATGGAGACCTGAACGTGCAAATTTTCTGGCACAGAAGAAGCTGGCCAGAACAAGATTTGCCATTGATTTCTTTTTCCTTGGGAAACTCAATCTCTTTCCAACTCAAACTAGGATATTTTTATCTATATAATTTTCTCTACCTCTGTACTTGCACATAACATTTTTAAAACTGACAAATTCGGAGCCCTGATTTTTACTGTCATTATGAAATATCATACAATGAGTCTGATCTCTGTGCAACAGGAATCCATCACTTATTCTTTGGAAATAATTTACGATATTGCTTCTAAGTGTCCATTTAAGAAATAATTGCTCCATTGCACAAAATGAGCAATTCATATCCGATCACCCAAAGAAGTTTTTAGCAGAGCTTTTAAAAAGCAACAGTTCTGAAATACACATCTTTGAGACAGAAACGTTCACAAAATAATAGGAACCTTTACATATTTAGCTAAAAATAATTTAAATGTCATTTGGAAGCTATGTACAGGGTATACTACATTATTGCTGTCCTATTTTTTTTCTTCTAAATATTCTAAGCTTCAGTACAGATAAGATTAATTTAAGAACAGGATTTCACATCTATGTTGTATTAACTCAACTAATCTTCAAGCTTTTCTGAACTGATGGTACATATAGTGTATCAGAAGTCCGTATATAGAGGAAGCAGAAACCAGGCTGGCAAAACACAGGATTCTCTACAATATTCTAGAGAAGTAACAGACTGAGACTTTTGTTCATTATATAGTGCCCACCATAAAATAAGTGCAAAAAATAAAACAAAACAAAAAACAACTGAACCAAACCAAGGTAAAACCCCACATAGATTGTTACCAAGTCATTTAGTTTAGAAAGCAAGGGTTAGAGTAGGTCTCACACCTGTTGTGGAAAGCAGCCTCTAAGATGGCTCCCAATGACCCCCACCCTCCTGGTATTCATGTCTATGTAATCCCCTTGCCCTTGAGTGTTGGCTAGACTTACTGACTCCAGAAGTGATGGGATATGACTTCTTACATCAGACGATAAAAAAAAAGATTGTGGCTTCCATCTTCCATGCTCATTCCCTCTTAAACTGCTCACTCCGAAGGAAGCCAGTTGCCATGCGTGGCAAGCAGACTCAGTGATACCCACCTCTTGATATTTATGCACTTGTGTAATCTCTTCCCTTTGAGCGTGGGCTGGCCCAGCAACTTGCTTCTCATCAAGAGAATACAGCAAAGGTGATGGGATACTGATGAGTAAATTACTCTATCTCCCTTGCTGGCTTTGATAAAGCAAGTTGCCATGCTGGAGAGGCCCAAATGGCAAGAACTAAGGCCTTTAGTCCAACAGGCCACAAACTGAATCCTGACAGCAACTGTGTGAGTTTAGAAGCAGATCCTTCCTCAACTGAGTCTTCAGATGGGACACCAGCCCTGGCTGACACCTTGAATGTAGCCTTGTGAGAGACCCTGAAGCGGAGGAAACAACTAAGCTGTGCCCAGACTCCTGAACCACAAAACTGTATGTAAGATGATAAAATGTGTGTTGCTTTAAGTGCTACATTTGTGGTAAACTGTTACACAGCAATAGATAACTAATACACGTCATACATGCCAACAACGTGAATGAGCTTGGACTCAGTGACTGGGAATTTTAACTCGATCTGGACATTTGCAGGAATTACTATATTTTATAGGTAAGAGAAGTGATAGGCTAAATGTCTTACCCAAAGTTATACAGCTAGTAATAGGGAGAAAATAATTAGAATTGTCTACTTTTAGTCCAGTGCTATTTCTACTCAACCCTTTTTACCATTATAAGCATTAAAGATGAACTAAAATATACAACATAAAGAAATTCATTAACGTAGAAAAAAAATACGGAAAAGTCAGAATAAAATCTTAACAATACAATCAATGAAAAAGACCCAGGGTTTTTAATTAACTCCAGATAGACTATACACCCACAAAGAAGCCAGAAGGGGACAAACAGGTCAAGTAAAGAATTTAAATGCTATGCCATATAAAGAATGATTGAAGAAAGTAGGTATATTTATTCCAAAATAGGGAAGTTTTGTAGGGATGCGTGGGTGGTTGAAAGGGTAAATCCATAATAAGCTGAATAGGTCTTAAAATATATGAAGGGCTATATTATGTTACAGTGCTGAATGTTGGCCTCCAAAAAGATATGTCCACATCCTAATCCCCATAACCTGTGAAGGTTATCTTCCTTGGAAAAATGGTCTTTGCAGATGGAATTAAGTTGAGGATCTTGAGATGAGGAGATCATCCTGGATTACCTGGGTGGGCCTTAAGTCCAATGCAAATGTCTTTCCTTACCAGAGACCCAGAGGGAAGTCGGGCACGGAAACGTCAGGCACAGAAGAGAAGGCCATATGAAGATGCAATCAGAAATTAAAGTGACGTGGCCACAGCTAAGGAAGGTGCAACCACCAGAAGGTAGAAGAGACATAGACAGAGCAGCACGCCCTACACGAGGGCCTCTCTAGCGAGTGGCCCTGTCAACACCTTGATTTAATAAGACTTCTGGCCTCCAGAACTGCGA